ATGTATTGATTAACAATATGTTAACAAATGATTGCCGTTTAATATGAGTTACAAATTAATGCAAACAATGAATGCAATGAAACCGGCGTTCAATGCAATACTCGTCCACCAACTCATGTCAAACCACACACACAAACACTGTTACACAACACTCACACTTTACTCCCCCTCCACTCCCCCTCAGCCCCACATTCGCCACATTTGGCACACATTTGCGTCACTCATAGCGTGTAAGTGGTGTTAATTGTTGACCACATTTGACGGCAAACATAATGACTGATGGATTGACGGGAGAGTAGATGTGATGAAGTGATGTGCAAACGAGACACCAATGACTGGCCATAACGTGATGTGTGAATAGTTTGGTACGACTACAACGTGGAGGGAGTGAAGAGAGTGTTGACTGCATTGAAACGTTTAGTTCATTGAATTGAACGCAAACCACAAATTGTCGCTCAAATCATGAGTCAAATGGCTTTTATTGACAAAACCTGTGATCACGTGATCGACGACGACGTCATCCGCACTCAACACTACTTGTGTGCCATTTATGTGGCATTAAAACAGAGTTTGACTGTATTTGTGAGTCGTTGAGTTGAGTGCAGTCTTTGGCGATACAATCGATTCGCGAAATGAGTGACGAATTAATTGTAAACAAAAATGTTTTGAAAGACATTTAAATGTGTATTGAAGTGAATATTGAATGAATTGATTGAATGCTTGAATACAATGTTTTGAATGTATTTAGTGTTGCATTGATTGCCATTTGTGTGAATAAGTGTTGAACTGATGGGCAATCTCTGGAGTGGGGGTCCGAATGGGCGTCCGGAGGAGTCGGTGGGTTTGGGTTGGAGTGCGTACTGCTATCCGCCCAAAACGGGTCAATACTTCAGCACTCACTTCATTATGGGTGGCGAACGCTTCGAGACGTGCGCTCCCGAGGCCTACCTCTTCGGCGAGAATATGGACCTCAACTTCTTGGGCAGTCATCCGACGCCTTTCCCCTACTCAGCGCCCGCACCACAAGAGCCCACCCGTACTCTCAGGGCTCTCATCAACATTCGCAAGGAATCACTTCGATTGGTCCGCATTGTCACCAATACTGATCCTATCAAAGACATTCCTCTGGAGCCAAACGGCGAGATACAGACACCCAAAGAGCCATCTGTTTATAACTTGGAGTTCGCGTTCGACGCGGACGTGAAGTGTGCCATAACTGTCCACTACTTGTGCACCGAAGAGATGACACCCAATGGTATTGTCTACACATCGAAAGAACCGAATCTCAGTTCCGGTACTTTTCATTACAAGAGGGGTCCGAACCAACTGTTCAGCCAATCGTCGCATGTCTTTAATCCATCGCTTTTCTCAGACGAAGAGTTGATGTATCGATCGGTCGATGAAAAGGGCGACTTCGATGGCAGCGCTCTTCTGCCGGTTGTGATCCATTGTGTAGCACAAGAGGGCGAAGACCCGCGACAGTCACACACACTGATCGCTGTCGTCGAACGCAATCACGAAAACATGCATTCAATCAAACCGTTGAAACAAAAACTCTTTGTCGACGGTTTGACGTATTTATTGCAAGAGATATATGGCATCGAAAACAAGAACGCATTGACCACTAAAGGAGACCAAACTCTGCCCGTAGACAATGACTTGGAGGACAACTCAAGCGTTCACCAATACTGATCCTATCAAAGACATTCCTCTGGAGCCAAACGGCGAGATACAGACACCCAAAGAGCCATCTGTTTATAACTTGGAGTTCGCGTTCGACGCGGACGTGAAGTGTGCCATAACTGTGCACTACTTGTGCACCGAAGAGATGACACCCAATGGTATTGTCTACACATCGAAAGAACCGAATCTCAGTTCCAGTACTTATCATTACAAGAGGGGTCCGAACCAACTGTTCAGTCAATCGTCGCATGTCTTTAATCCATCGCTTTTCTCAGACGAAGAGTTGATGTATCGGTCGGTCGACGAAAAGGGCGACTTCGATGGCAGCGCTCTTCTGCCGGTTGTGATCCATTGTGTGGCACAAGAGGGCGAAGACCCGCGACAGTCACACACTCTGATCGCTGTCGTCGAACGCAATCACGAAAACATGCATTCAATCAAACCGTTGAAACAGAAACTCTTTGTCGACGGTTTGACGTATTTATTGCAAGAGATATATGGCATCGAAAACAAGAACGCATTGACCACTAAAGGAGACCAAACTCTGCCCGTAGACAATGACTTGGAGGACAACTCAAGCGAATGTGTCATTTGCATGAGTGACCCGAGAGATACACTCATTCTTCCGTGTCGTCACCTCTGTCTTGTAATTATTAGTATTTTATTGATCATTATTTTGATTGAAATTGATTTCTAACCATTGAAATGATTGATTGAAAACTAGTGCAACGGATGCGCCGATTCATTGCGATATCAGGCAAACAACTGTCCCATATGTCGGGCGCCATTCAGAGCTTTACTACAACTCAAAGCAGTCCGAAAGACATTTGTTGCCAATACAGGCATCGGTGGGAATGCGAGTCCTGTTGTCAATCACCACCAATTGATGTCTTCAAATAGTTCTACAGATTTAGTAGACATACCTCCCGGTTATGAACCCATTTCACTGATTGAAGCACTCAATGGTCCGAACCCTCACTCCAATGGTTTGTCTCCCTTTCGAACTAATTGTAATGAAAACGAAACTCCAATTACTGTCAGAAAATATCATAAAAACGATCAGAAATCCAAAAAAGCGAATCAAATTAACACTAATAGTGGAGCAGAAGTGGTGTCCGATTCGGTAACTGTTATAACCAGAGCTCCATTAGTTCGGTCACGTCTGGTCCCCTCCGATAGTCCTTCAACTCCAGAAGTGGTTGTCTCGGGAATACCGGTGTCGCCCATCAAAGACAATGTCGACAACGAATTAAACATTGAAACCAATAATGAGGTGAAAGAGCGAGAAGTGTGGCGCCGATCGCTTGTAAAGAACCCGAAGCCAAGCAAACCCGTGGCCGATGACAATGGAAGTGCCTCTTCTTCTGCTTCTTCTACGGCAATGACAGAGAATATTGCACTTCAAGAAAGAGTACGACTTTTATCTCACGATAAATGCGAAGACGATTGCGATTACATGACTGAAAGAGAGGAGAAACTGAATGACGAAACAGAAATGCAATCATTTCGAGTTCACACCATCTCTTCGCCGACGCTTCTCAAGGATTCTCCGGGAGATTCGAGTCCCGTATCGATTGGTATATCTTCGGCGTCCTATCCTATGATGAGCTTAAGGGACGGACTCGACGAACAGCACTCGATGGACACGGAGGCCGACACCTTCTCTGTGGCCACTATTAGCAGCACTAATAATATATTAATTCGCGCCGAAGAAGATCTGTGCGATTATTTCATTCCATATAACGCTAATAAATCACAAATGGATTCGATTGGACACAATCTCAACACTACTTTAATTATAACTGATGTCCCAAACGTTCCACAGGTTTAACAAAATTAAGTCAAAATTAAAACATAATTTATAGTAATATATGAATTGTTTTTCAGTTGGAAACTAAATCACCGAATACTGAAAATAATGGAAACACAACAACCGATTCGTCGACGAGAGTTAAATTAGCGGAAACTGAAGTTCTCGACGATTCTGATCCAGAATCACAGTCTCAATGATTACTTGTAATGATAACACTTTAATTTTTGTCAGTTTTACAAATTTTGTTTGATATATAAATTATAAAATATAAATAATAAAATCATGACTAATGAATCACAAGAATACCAGCCATTTCTCCTTCACTTCTTCCAATTGCTTTGCGAGCAATGGTTCTCTGATTCTGACCTTAGCTTCGAGTCGACCGCCGACTGCTTTCCTCCCTTCAGTCAAAGGGAAACTCTCATGAATTGTACATTTAGTTTCAAAATCAGTCATTTTGATGAGTGCTGTTCCTATCAATGTGTCGTTTCTGAATAATCCACTGAAACAAACACTATTTACAAATACAGTAAACTAATTGATTGGCGTATAAATTATAATACAAACCCTTTAGACATGAGTTCGAGTTTCAAAGGATGTCTTTTGAGAGTTCGGGGCAATTGTCGAGATTTCCTATCGATTTCGAACTTAAACGTCTCGTTGAATACTTTGACCGATAAAATAGATTTCTGCATTCAATTCAATGTTCAAACCTATACTGTATTGCAATACAAACCTGGATTTAAACTGTTTTTAACGGTTTTGGTTCGACCCGTTTGGTTGTGTTCCTGTTTTTGATCACAAATGCATGTGAGAAGTTGTGTACAAAAAGTATCACTTCTTTCACTTACATTAGGAAACGGGAAGTCAAGTCTGACATAAGTGTCGATATCAGGTTTGCCCGGAATATCAACCGCTTTCACCACTTCGACAGTCACTTCATTAACACCCACTTCTGTATTACATATGACTATAGAAAAAGTTCGCGTTTCGTACTTAAAATTGGGTACTTTATGACCGCTTCTCCAGCGGGCGGTCAAAACATCCAAATCTTTTCGACTATCGATGGCGTACTTCTCAAACTTAGAAGACGTCGATATGTCTCCCAATTGTAGAAAGTATTCCTTATTTCGTTTACACATCTGTTTAAACCAAACAATTATAGAATATCTGCATTCGTCTAATAATATCAAATCAAACCTCAATTTGATTTTGTAACTCCACTTCAATTTTGCGAAATATCTCCTCTTTTTCCAAATCGTCAGTTTGTGAACACTCGGGATGTGAGACAATCACAAAATCGTCGCCAATTTGTGGAGGCGTTGGTATAGAAGTGGCGTCGATTGGCAGTCCGTTTTGTGTCGCTTCAATCAACGGATCAAAACCTTTAGCCATCCGTAAGTACTCTTTGGCCTGTTGTAGGTCTCCCTTCTGTTTGGACTCGAGAGCCGCTTCTTT